GGAAATTATGTAAATAAGGAAAAAGTCTGCTTTGTGACAAAGATTGTTTGTTAAATAACATGTTAGTGCTAAAATACCTTAAGAGAAAACTCGTTGTACTCAGTTTGCCAATACTTATCTAACTGATACCTCCAATTAAGTAAAATATAAAACAAAGCAAAACCTAAAATCTATGACACAGGAAAAAGAAGAAAATATTAACTGAATATCTGTTAAGTAGGGAGAAATAAATCCTGTTCTTCTACCTATATTCCTGCCTACCAGTTCACTTCTACCTACTCCCATCCATCTGGGTTTGTCACCTGATGGTGCATCTCCTTTCCTTCTTTATCTATATGGTTTGATGATGAAATCTTTGAGAGGTATCCATCATCCTATGCATTACTTATTTAGATTAAACTTAAGGCAGTATTGAGAAATTATAACAATATTTTTAGGAAATACCATTAGTAGGGAGAGAGGGGGTGAAAAGTTCTTCAATTCCTTTAACATGTGACTCAACCAAGATCTCACTTCTTTGGCTCTATCCTGGTTTAGTTCCATTTACAAATGGCTTTTGCCCTAATCTGTTTTCTAAGGAGTGAAATAAAATTGTTTATAGAAGCAAAGGTCCTTTGTGTGAGAATGAACCGGTGAGCAGGAGGAAAGTCAACCCTCAGCCTGGTGGCAAGCCCCAGACACTAAACCGGATGTCATTAACCTGGCTCACCCTAGGATTTTGTAATATCATCAATAAAGTATCACCTGTACATATGGTGAGGCAAAAGGGAAGGTAAATGTGTCACTGGAAAGGCAATGCTTGTCATTAAAAACCCAAAAATCTTTCTTCTGAATTAAAGTTTGGATCTATGTTATGGGTTCTTTCTGCAACCCCCTTTCCAGAGTGCCGGGGGCCACTCTGATGGTGGCTGAACTGCAACCAGATGGGTACAATTCAGAGGGAGCATTATTTAATTTTTTTAGAAAGTTGGAGAGAATTCAGGTTTCTTTAGTTTATTATAATCACAGTCAATAAGGAGAAACTTGGGCAAATGAATATCAGAAAAGTGTGTAGTTTGGTCCTGATTTGAAATGAACAGAGGAATCCTGACTCATCCGGGAACTCCTCAGAATGCAGATCCTTCTCCTTTACCGTGTCTTCATGTTGCTCTCCTTCCCCTTCTCTACCCCCTCACTTCTCTCTCTACTGTCTCCTTATTTTCAATACCCTTTTTTGCTCTCCTTTCTTCTCTAACCTGTACTTTCCTGTCTCACCATTCTTTCTGGCTTTTGCCTTCGCCCTTTCCCCAACCATTGTACTCTTCTATACTGACCATGCTTTAGGTCAGTACAGAAGGTCAAGAGCCTTTCAGAAACATTCTTCAGGCCCTGCTGCAAGAGGGAAGCAGACCTCCACACCCTCCCCTCAAAAACAAGGATTTTAAATGAGAACAAATTCCACAATTACTGACAATTTTGATTTGTATTTTCTGGCTACTGGTTGTATTTCAATTCAGGTTCACTTAGAGTTTTCTTCATTTATTTTGTACTTAATATATGAACAAAGTCAACTTAGTTTTCTCTTTGTGTTCCTTAATAGAATATATTAAATCATTAGAATTCCATACATTTTATTCTTTATCTCTTTCATCTCAAACACAAAGCCCCTTCCAGTATATCTTGTCTATATGTTATCCTTTTATTTTCATTTTCTCAGCATTGCTCTTGGCCTTGAAAAGGTAGCCTTGTTAAATAGTGTTATAATATCTGCAGACTGATTTCTGTCATCGGGACGCACCAAGTTAACTATTTTGTTTCTTAGTTATTGGACCCTGGGTATATATCGCCACAGAGTGATGCTAAACCTTCTGATGCAGTGAGTGTTTCTGAAAAAAAAACAGGTCATGATGAATTTGCACACACAGAGTTTCTTACATTAGTCTCAAGTCTCAGCTTGTCACATTTTTATATTTTCTGAGGGCATTCGGAACAAAATATCCCTGCCTTCTGCACAATGTGTTATTATTTTTATAAAACCAGACTTTTGCCATAATAATGAAGAGAGCGAGCCCCTTTTTCTTGCAAGAGTAGATTACCCCAGCTGTGATAATAAACCTACTAAGAGGATTCTTTTACTCCCTTATAAGTCAAGGACAGTCTTTCAAATATTTCCTCTACATATTTTCATCTGAAAGCAAATGGATTTTTTAAAAATAATTCTTCATTGTTGAAAGTATTACATATGTTCCCCTTTTTCTCCCATGGATAATATTTTTTTAACCATTTTTGTAATGGAAATCTACTGGAATACATAACCTACCAGAAATCAATGGTAAAGAAATTAAATTAAATAATTTTACAGAGAAATATATATTAGATTATTTCAGTTTATGGCATCCAGACACAATGGAGTTAACATTTTTTTCTCTAATTCTGTAGCTGATCATGTTTTTTTTTTAAAAAGTCTACAGTCTGTATTTAATATTATGAGGAATAGTTTTCAAAAGACATTCTCAAAATGTTCTTAAAATTTTTAATGACTCAACTCTGGGAATTTTTGTAATAAACATATACCATTACATCCTTTAAGGCTAAAAAATGCACTCCAAAAAAACTACAAAAAATAAGTTAGTCATTATTATTGAAGTTTTTTCCAAAGTCTCATATCCATTAGATTGAATTTCAATACCTTACAGGATGATACATAAAATAGAAATAGAGGAAAATTTTTGAGCTACTTTTTAATTTTTTAATGTTTATTATATCCTCAAAATCACTTTTAAGGAATCATAAATATCACAAAAAATTATCTTTAGCAAAGATTAAATGACATTATACTTTTCAATTTTCCCAAGTCCTTGAATTTGCTGTTACAACAGCAAATTTTATCCATTTCAATTAAGTAGAATATACCTTGACAATAGTCAACTACCTATTTCTCTTCTTTATTTTTTTTCTTTATTGATTAAGGTATTACATATGTGTCCTTATCCCCACATTGCCTCCCCACCCGCCACCCCCACTCATGCCCTCACCCCCTTGGTATCTGTGTCCATTGGTTAGGCTTGTATACATGCATACAAGTCATTTGTTTGATCTCCCCCCCTTACCCCTCCCCTCCCCTACCTTCCCTCTGAGGTTTGACGGTCTGATCGATGCTTCTCCATCTCTGGATCTGTTTTTGTTTTATTTGGGGGGTTTAATAGATAATAAAAGTAAATTCTTTCAAAATAGTATTGTTGCTGTATGGATTAATATTGTTGTTTTTGCTAACAGAAGGGATGTGTGAATGTGTGTGTGTGTGTGTGTGTGTGTGTGTGTAAATTCTTTAATAAACCGAATACGTTGCACAGAGCTTAGGAAGAATATTCATTCACATGTAAAAATATTAAATGGGATTTCTTAAACTAGAATAAAGACCTGGTTTTCTAGATGTCTTTTAAAAATTCTGCTGATTTTGTAAGGATTTAAATTATAGAACTGGAAGGAGAATCGGTAAAGAAATTAGATGCATGCCCATCAGCACATTAAAAAGTCTTGCTTTTTAAAAGTTATGTCACTATCCTGAGTGTTTCTGCTTTTTGTACTTTCCTTCCCTACCTGCAGTCTTTCTAATTCATTTCAAATTTTATGAATCAGGAAATAGTTTTCCTGAAACCAATTCAGATGCTTAGATACACACAGACATTACAGTAATACATCGCATACACCATTATACACTCCAAGTTGTGACCCATACATTTTGTCCCATAAGATTTTTTTCCAAGGACATAGTAAAGGAAAACTTGGTGGAATACAAACCCCAAGGAATTTGTTCTAGAATGAACGTTTGGAATCGGTAAGAAAGGATCCCTGGTTAAGATCTGTGACATATATTTGACTTGTGTCTTTGACAAAGCAGTTTCCCTCCCACCCCCGAGACATTAATGGCATTTGGCAGCATCAAAACAGACCCATGATCCACATTCAGGTGATGACAGGACCCAAAGTATTTTAAAAATGAAGTCTAAATCCATGCTGCCATTCAGTTTTAAAATCACATTTTGAATTCTTAAGCTTCTTATTGTTTTCATATCTTTACTGTCTAAATGAAGAGAGATGACTTTCTTAATATTTCTATTTAATTTTAATATTGTTATTAAATAGTTTCTATAAATTCTTCGGAGAAGGTACAGCATCAGTAATAGTTGGGAATCCTAGATTCTAACCTAGGTTTCTTGTGCGACTTTGGATGTTAATTTATTTCTTTGCTTCACTTCTTTTACTCTGAGATCAATATTTTGTTTGGGCTTCGTTAGTCTTTGTTTAACTAAAAAAGATAGGTTGATTATCTTATTCAAGGGTTATTCAAGTAAGTGTGTAATGTCTAATGCTATTTACTTTTATTGTTATAAATATTGTGTTATTAAGTCTTCTTCCTAAGCAAAATTTTATTTGTATAAGCAATTAAATATAATTGGTTATAATAAAAATCTATTAATATAACCAAATAGCAACACCAATACAAAGAAAAATACACTTTTACTTCAGAAAATAAGGGTTTAAGTTTTGAATGCATGGTTTATAAAAATCGCTACCATCTATCTTATTCACCTTTTATCTCAGAGGTGGTGCTAATCTAATGCAAAGTAATGGATCAATGAGTAATATTCCAAAAGTAATGTTCAGAGCAATAGATTCAGAGATATTCTACTTGAATTCAGTGCAGGCACAGCAATGCCGAATGAAGTAGCTGCACTCTTCAGGCTGGAAGAAAGAATATTAACCCCCATTTTCCCCATGTCTAGTAAAAGTAAAGTATCTTTAATGTTATTATAAGTTTGTATCTGCCTTTTACTACAGATGCATATGTACATGGAACTACCCTGGTAAATTCAATATTGAGCAATCTATTAAAAATAGGGTTAGTAATTTAACTACATGCTACCATTTTTATTACTTTTCCATTTAGATGGAAAGCCATGCTTTAAAAGTAAGGGTCTAATGTTGTTCTCTAAAATTAAAACAATCATGTGACCCACCTCCCAATCCTGGTCTTAGGCGATTGTCATAACCATCTAGGAGTCGGTCCAAAATCCTGGTGAAGACAGTGGTATTGTCTTTAAGTTCATCTTGTATTGAGGGTTGTCCATAGCTGAAAAAAGCATAACAGGAGGTGATAACTAAATGATAACATTTCTACTAAAACCTTTTCTCAAATAAAGCCTTTCCCCAGATTTTCCTACTTCCTTCCATTGAATCTTAATATGAAAATTCCTTCTGATGCAGTGAAAAAAAAATCTTATTTTAATTCCAACCACTTTCTCATACTCGTTCTCATGGGTGATAAGCTCTTTATTCTAATATTTCTAACCATGGAAGGAAAATTATCAGGAAATGAGTTCCTTCTCTTTACATTCATAATTCTTAGCACGTAAACGCAATGCTCTAATGTGTTTTTTTCTGGGCATACAAGAAGGTTAATGCATATTGGGGGAGAAATTTTGGGAGACTTCTTCCCAAATAAAATATATATACTTATGAGCTACCGAGATAGTTAATAGTTTTATTTTCATTTATTTAACATGGAACATAAGCTAAAATTTCACCTCCTAACATCCCTTTCTTTATCTACTTTGCTTTTTTTTTGCTTTTTTTCTTTTTATTTTTTATCCTCACCTGAAGATATTTTTCCATTGATTTTCAGAGGGAGTGGAAGAGAAAGGGAAAGACACATCAATTGGTTGCCTCCTGCACTCATCCTAGCCAGGGCCTCAGCCCGGAAGGGGCCTGCAACTGAGGTATGTGCCCTTGACCTGAATCGAACCCGAATCAAACCTGGGACCCTTTGGTCTGCAGGCGGATGCTCTATCCACTGAGCCAAACTGGCTGGGGCTGTGTTTTGCTTTTTTGATGTTCTTTCAAGATAATACAGATGAGAAAACTAGAAAATGTGTTTCTTAATATAATTATACTTTTACATCATTGAGTAGTTCCCATTCACCTGAAGGTTTATGAACCTATTTAGGTAGTTTTATAATTTGTTTATTCAAGCCTCTAATTAATTGACTTTTTATCATTTCTGGTCTTATAAGTACCTTGAAAAAGATATGGTCCAATATTCTTAATTTATGGTTTACTAAACTGTAGTGTAGGATTGGTGTTTTGTTTAAGAAAACACGGCTACTTGTGAGCAGAGCTTGAAATAGGACCCAGTTTTCTTCACATTTTAGTCTAAAACTTTATTTCTCTTCTTCTATATTGGAGTACTTGTTTATACTTAAATCTTTATAGTTGAAGGTGTAATTATTCTTTACCATTGCTAGTCTTTGAGTTTCAACCACATAGTGACTGCAATTCAAATATTGTGCATTATTACATCAATCACATTATTATATTATCTGTGCTCCTTGAATCATATTTTATGTAATGATTAGGATGACACCTCCAAAATCCTGTGAGAGAGAAGTCTTCTAATTTAAGATGGATCACAGTCACTGATATATTTCAGTGATAGCTCTGACCTTGAGTAAAAAAAATGTGAATTAGAGTATAAAGGAGGAAACTTCCACAAAATAACACTTTCATATTTTCTGTTTAACATGCTTTGGCTTGAATCTTGTGTTCATATTACTGATCAATCTAAAAAACAAGTAGTAACATATGAAACTAGGATCCACTTATTTTACAGGAGCAAGATATATAACCAAAATATCATTTCAAAAACAAACATGATTGATTAACTAATTAAATTTATATCAGCAAAATGTAATGGCTATTTTTTCTGATAAATTTTAATTTGATAAAGTTATAATAACTAAATGCTATTCACAATAGTCAATGCATAGAATATACCTCTATTAAATGATCTTTAGTTCTCCTAAATTCAACATCAATATCATGCAGATTAAGGGTTTACTCTCCTATGGTAAAATTAAACATCTTAGTTTTTGAAATCAACTTTTTAATGAGCTCTGTGTCTTCCAGCATGTCTCATTAGTCGATGATAGCAATAAAGCAAAAATAGTTTTCTGACTGCAATTATTTACAAAAACTCTGTCACAAAACCAACTGTCAAATGTATCTTTCAAGGATATTAGAAGGTCATCCTGATAAAGATGGAAAAGAAATGTTAGCACACCTTACGTTGTGAGAGGGCCAGATCAAGTAATTAAAGGAAGAAAGCAATAAAATGAGAAGGGGGAAAGATGAGATGGGTGACATGACATGGCACAATTAGATTGTTACCATGATTCTTAGAATATGGAGTTAGTTATCCATTACTTTTACCTGTATTCCTTTTTCTTTTTTTTTTATAGCTTATATCACATTCAGGAAATGTTGAGTTAGTTATCCATTACTTTTACCTGTATTCCTTTTTTCTTTTTTTTTTTTTTACAGCTTATATCACATTCAGGAAATGTTTTTCCCCCTTGTTTTAACCTGTAAATGTATTCACCATTTTTTTTTGCATTGGAATACAAATGCCAAAAGATATGTATCCCCACACTCCCAGAAAACCAGTTCTGTTATCACAATTGGAATGGTAACCTGGTTTTTAAATGTGATTTTATATACAGGTATTCTTTCTTTATTTCTAATTTACTATGGCCCATTGTAATTGTCAGAGAATAGCCCTGGGATAAATATAATTGATTTGCTATTAAACACTCATGCCGATGTAATGTTTCCTAAACTAAATATATAATTTGGTGAGAAATGTCAGTTACAGTACCTGATTTTGATTCCATATGAGCCACTATATAATAAAACACTGTGCACTACCTCCATCTACAGGTCATTACAATAGTAACACTTCATGTAAATTTTCAAAAGCAGTGAAGAACAGTAAACTCCTCAGATTAAGAGTATCTGGCAATAAAGCATTTCCTGTTCATCTGGTAGTCATTATTTACCACACACAATAGCAAAAATAAAAGCAACTTCTCAATTTTAAAAATCCTCCTAAATTTATATCTTCCCAGGCTATTCTTTCCCTCTGCCTTACTCATAAGGGCTCACTTTCCGTTACATTTAGAAGAATCTGAGATTTTTATAATACGTCTAAGACTTTCTTATGGGCCACAGGAATAGACTACATAAGAAATATAAGAGTAGATTAAAGAATAATCTGAAATAGTTGGTTATTTATATCATTGCTACTATAATATCTTTATATGCTCGGTTGGGTCATTAGCAAACATTTTGAATATGGTTAAGCATATTATTAAATTTGTCTTATAACTTGTCTCCATAGTAGTTATGCTTAAATTAAGAATTTCAATTTTATCTGCTATTCTCAAATATTTTTCTGGGATATTTTACCTCTACTGGTTATATAAGTAATGTTTTCAAAACATATAGAGACTTATGACTTATGACTTTTAAATTGCAAATATTATTTTGAACTTTTTACTACCATATAGTCATAAGTTTCTCTATGATTTTACAACTGGTTAAAAATTTTCTTGTTAAAAAATCAACTCACATAGTATGCAGACATTAACTGAGGTAACTTTTCTATGAATAAGAAACCGCTGGTTTTGTTCAGTTACAGATGAACTGTGAAAAAAAGTTCAATTTAAGACTTAAATGTTGAATTAATACATTCCTCAATAAAAGCATAAGTGTATTCTAACTAACATACAAATAAGGTGATTATTTTTTCATACTGCTCTTCTTTATGCTTAACTGGAATTTTATTGCAGTTAAGTTTTTTGAATTCCCTTAGTCATGAATTCATCCAAGGGCAATTTTCTTCCCACTAAAACAGTGGTTCTCAACCTTCCTAATGCCGCAACCCTTAAATACAGTTCCTCATGTTGTGGTGACCCCCAACCATAAAATTATTTTCGTTGCTACTTCATAACTATAATTTTGCTACTGTTATGAATCGTAATGTAAATATCTGATATGCAGGATGTATTTTCATTGTTACAAATTAAAGCATAGTGATTATTCACAAAAACAATATGTAATTATATATTCAATATGTGTTTTCTTAGGCGACCCCTGTGAAAGGGTCGTTCCACCCCCAAAGGGGTCGCGACCCACAGGTTGAGAACCGCTGCACTAAAAGAATAAAATGAAAAGTTACAGAAATTCTCATGCAGATGTAAAATAAAGCGTCCCCACCTTCTTCCAGTCAGTGTGCCCAGAAGGAGGGTCCAGGCCCAAAGATAGTCAAGGAGACGCAGGCTTTTCTTCTTCATCGCGGGCTTGTGCAGCTGAAAAGTAGAACAAGTAGAGATCAATGTCTCTTGTAAGAAACATCAGGTTATAACCACTAGGGCTGACTGAGGCAGTTCAGATGAATGCTCTGAAGTCAGGAAATGACCTCACTGGGCTATGACACCTCATTGGAAGCAATGGAAACCTGGACCTTCCATTCTCCACTGTCCCTTCCATTTCTCCATTCAGAAATATATCAGTCTCTTAATTTCTCCTGTAAAAGAATACAAGTTGAAATGCTTTCAGGTTCCAATATTGCTTCCAATATAAGAACTGTGAGTTGTTTTTTCTCTCTAGGTTTTATACTTCCTCTAGAGTTTGCATTACTCTCTTCTTGTTTTGTTTTGTTTTGTTTATCATCTGAGAAATCTGACCTTTCTGATTCGCGTTTCCGCAACTGAACTATGCATTGAAATGTTTAAGCTGGTGTCTGTCACAGAGAGAGAATATTTGGGGACCGGAATGGGGAAGGTTAAAAGGCTTCATGACTGAATTCATCTTTGCTTTCTGGATGTGCCTTGATTTCAGAAGCAACTGTACTTATCTTTTTTTTAAAAAAAAAAAAAACAGCAACATACGAAACACACTGTTGAATGTCAAAGTCGTGCTTGTATTTTCTGCCTGTGATTGCCTTGTTAAATATGCTCACAATGCTTCGGCGAGGCTAAGGGACACACTTTACAGTCAAACCATGTGCTGATCTCCCTCGCACACGCATACCACACTCACATCAGTGCACGCAAACATGCCCACACATATCTTTCAAGCCCTCTCGTATTCTGCCAGGTTGCTGTTAGAAAATGTTTCATCTCTAACAGATGGAAGCTGAGTGCTTTGCTTTGCATAAATAAGGAACTCTTTTTTCTCTCGTAGGTAAAGTGTAATCGATCACCATCTGATTGTTGAATTTAGACTTCGTAGTGGGATGCTGGAGAAATGGAGTACGGAAGGCTTAGATATTTTTTTTTAAGTATAGGCTATTTGTGGAGTCAATTTTTAAAAATCACTACACTACCTAGTTAAAGAGCAGATATGGCAACACTTGATTTAATGTGCTATAATTCATCCCAGTCATAATATGAGAAATGTTCAAGGTATTTGTTAGCACTTTCCTAAATGTATAACATATCTTTTAAAACCCATTTTTCACTAAGCACTCTATAATTTAATGCAGTATGCCTTTAAATACAGCTACCAAATGCTTTCCACACTCACTGGGGTCATTTATATCAGCAAAAACCATTACAAACAGGCATGTAAGCAATACAACATAATGTGTTTAGAGTGAAATGGTCTAGAGATAAGAACTGTGAGCTTCATAGTCTTTTACTTAATTTACTGCCTGGCTCTGAAACAGATGAGTTGTGTATGACAGGAAATATTAGATAAATTATATTATGTTAAAATATTGCATCTAAATTACACGATTATAATTCACCCTTTTATGAATCTTTTGACATCTGTTCTGAAGGAAAAACAGTTTCTCTTACCCTATGAATACTTGTTGGTTTTTATTTTTTTAAAAATTCCTGAAAGGGTAAATGAATCCAAACAAAACCCCAAGGCAAGGTACCATAGCTTTCTGTGCTCTAACGTTTTGGAGAGAGAAAAACAGACCTACCATGGCACTTGAGTTGTTCAGTGAGAAAGTTTCTTGCAAATACAAGCATAATAGTTTAAAAGCAAGGTTAAGCTGCCTCCTTCCCCCTTCTCCACCTTCCACCTCCCCCCACCAAACACACACTCCAAACACCCCCATTCCATGTCACCCATGTCTGTCCAACGGTAAGTTGAGTTTTTTGTGTTAGGAATACGAGAGACCCCTACGCCAGAGGGCATTTCAGCAGCGTGTCCACTGACGGGGGAGAAGAGGCATTTTTGCAGCTGGAAAGGGAGGATGGCTTCCCTGGCTAGGATGGACCATTGAGACCGGATTTCGGTCCCAGCCTTCTTAACTTAAGGCTGTGCCCACCGAAGCCCCTCCCCACCTCATCCCAACTCGCTCTTGGGGAGAAGGGGGTGGGAAGGAAAACAACAACAACAACAACAACGCGACCAAAACAACAGGTCACCACCCACCCTGTGGAATAAATTCTAATCTGCTTAAGAAAGGGGGAAAGAAAAGAAGAGAAACAGAGTAAAAAAAAATGCCCCTATATCGCTGCGGTTTTCAAAAGAAAAACATGCCTTTATTCTACCTGCCCGGGGAGCGGGCTCGGTCCTGGTCCCCCTCGCTCCCGCGTCTGTCGGTAGCAGCCCAGTCTCCCCCGCCAGGCAAAGCCGCGGTCCGAGCTCTGCGTGTCGTGGTCTGAAGCAGCACTTACCTCGGGCCCCCTGTGGGCACCGATCGCTCCAGACCCGGGGCGAAGTGTCTGCGAGAGAAAACCGTGCAGAGCCGGGAGCAGCCGGAGTCAGGGGCGAGTCCGGAGGCGAGCGGAGGGGCGTCTGCGCCCAGCCTCTCACTCACTCGGTCTGAGCCATCATGGACTCTGCGTGCTCCTCTGCCGAGGATTTCACACCCAGATTGGCTCCCCCAAATCCAATCCGCGGCTCTACAACAAAAGATTTCTCTTTACCGAGACAGTAGTAATACGTCCCAGGGCAAACCGGATGTGAAATAGGCGGTGACTTCATGCCAGAGAGATTTTATTTTAGAAAGGAAGGTGGTACCAGTCTCTGGATCTGGAGACCAATCCGCCCATTTTTTTTTTATATGCAGCACAATTTAACTTGCACCGCTTTGGCCCTAATCTCCTTCCCTGAGCTACAGACTCAGATCCTTCCACCACCCGATGGCTGCGAGCTTTCCCCGTTTGAGGGGAGTCCAGATGGGGGAGGGAAGGGTAGACAGGGGGAGAGACCTAGGATCCACATTCAGAATTTCCCCCCCCCCCCCACTTTCAATTTAGGAGCACGCGATGTTGATGTGCGCCCGTTAAAAACAAAGCTGATCAGGGTAACTGTTCGCCTTTGATCAAAATTGTCAGCAGTGCATGCAGATGAATGAATGCAAGCGGTGGAACAGGGAGACGCCGGGCTGCACATGTGGCGCACACTGCCTGCGCCTCCATCTCCCGCACACTCACTCCCACACACATGTCTGAGCGCACGTCTTGCAGAGTCACGAATGGTGAGGAATGGCCGGGAGAGTTCTGGACAGCAGGGAGCTGGCTACGGGGTTTGGAGAATCGTTCGCACTTACACAGGTTGTGAGCGCTTTCCAGCCCACCTCCATCTGTAGCTTAGAGGACAGCGAGAACACGCTCCGACCAGGTTTCTAACCTTTGGATGCAAGTGTTTGTTTACTTTGTGATGGGAGCAAACACGGGCTTCTTACTTGTGAACTGTGCTGGGTCCCTAGGACGAGGAGTATTTAACTTTAAATGCATCGCCCAGATCCTGTCTAGGTTTGAGATTCCTATCTCCATTCCCAGAATATTCCCTTTGCCTCCAATTCCATCATTCTAGGGATTAGGAAAACAAACGGGAGAGGGGGAGGAGAGGTGAACCAAAAGATGTTTAGAAGTCAGGACCAAGCCCGCTTCTGCTGTTTACCCCTGCCCTCTTCTGCTACCCGCCTGGCTGGTGGCTCTCCACCCACGAGTAATTATGCATTTAGGGAAGGAGGGTGTGTTTCAATAGCAGTCTAACTAAATTTCCAAGGAGTCAGGGAAGGCTGTAGTTCTCTCCTTGGATTTTGTGAATGGGTGTTTGTAGTAGAGAGGAGATGGGTGCTGTCTTCCTGGGATTCTTTACTGAAGGGACCCAAAGCGCTGGGAGCTGTTCCTTCAGCACTTTCGCCAGAACTAGGTAGAAAAGATGGGTGCCTCCAAGTAAGGCTTCTGGTAAATCAACTCTGAACTTGTAACTTTGGTGAGCTCCTAGCCATTTTCCCCCAAGAGGAATTCTAGCAGAGGAGATACTTCTGATAGGGGCAGGGCTTGGCTAAGCAAAGGAAACACCAGTCCATACCACGCATAGGTTTTGATTCTACAAGTGTTCCTTGGTTTTGTGCTGCAACACAATCATCTTCCATGATGAAAACTTAAGACAGATGACTGAGATGGCAAGGAATATAGCATTGAGGACCACATTCACAGTTGGGTTTGGTTATCTTCTGAGTTTTCAAAGGGAAATGTTAACGGGAAATTATTGCAGAAATCAATCATTGAGGAAGGGAGAATTGGAGACCAGCTTATGATACCCTGTTTCTGGGCAGGAGTTGCCTACTCTGCTGAGACTTAACAAATGTTAATATATTCTTAAAGATACCCATTAAAGAAACATCATAACTGCCCTATGTTAAGTGCCCAATTTTTATTTAATTTGTTTGTCCATTAATTTAGTTATTTATTGAGCAGTTCTGAGACTAAAACTCACTTTAGTAAGGTTTGAAACCTGAGGTTAACAATAAGAAAACATTGGTTTTTTTACCTGATAATTTATAATGCAATTCCATAGTTTTGTTTTGACTCAACAAAGACTGATAGTCCTAAAAATGTGATCTTTTAGTGTATTTTTCTCTTCGTTGAATTGTTGCAGCTTCTTTTACTCCTCTGAAAATTGAGAATAACTTTATTTCCTATACCTAATGAATGCAACCAAATCACTATACTGATTATGTTTTTATGAGCACAGCCACTGAAACTTGATCATTTGAACAGTAATCTCTCAGAACAAATTCAATCACATCTTGCTTCAGACTGTAAGAGTCATGTAACTATCCAACAGGAATCAATTGCATAGCAATTCCATATATTTTCAAACAAGTATTTATAAATAACTATTGGGTATATTTTAAAATGTAGCACACATATGAAAATGAAAATGTCCATACTATTATTTTCTATTTCAAAAACTCAAAGGTAGTTTTTACGAGATGATTAATGTGTAATTTGTTTTGGGATATGTATGTTTTTAATAAGTAAATTTAATAACTTGTGGGTGTTTAAAATTTGATAATTTGACCATTTGAAAAACAGCAATTGCAACTATAAGTTATGATTGTATTTATTATTTTCCATCTAAGGTATTATTACCATTTGCACATAATACCAGAGAGAATAAAATATAAGAAATTAATGAAAGGAAATAATTTACTTTATATTGTCTTGTTAATTTAACCCTTTAGATAATTGTTGACATTATTTTTACTTTTTACCTAGCGGAATGAATCTCTTCAAAGTGTGTGTGAATCTGATTGAAGTTTTGAAATAACAATAACCATAATGTTCAATATTCTTAAAATGTTTACTTGGTGCCAAATAATATGCTAATCAGTTTGCATACATCATGCCATTTAATTCTGAAAACATGACTGTGAGAGAGACTCTTAATATCCCCGTTTTACAAATTATTCAATAAATTTTGAATTATAGAGAGCATGAGACGTGGCCAAGGTCCCACAGCTGGTGCATGTTCATGTTGGAATGCAAACCCAGGTCTTCTGACTTCAAGGCTTATTCTCTTAACCACATGTCTCTGTTACTTTATTTCCTTACTCTGGGGTAGTGAGCTCAAGTTAAAATCTACCTTATTTATCTTATGTCTTTCATTGACCATCTTCATGTCTGTCACATAAAATATTCCTCTGAGTATTTCAAAAACATTTATTCACACTGAGACTTTTTATTTTAATGATCTAATACATCCAACTGCAATGTGATAGGGTTACTTTAGTATTTCGGAGGCTTCTGCTATTTTCCTCCTGCTTTATGGGGCCAGCTGCACAGGCCTTCCAAACAGGCACTAGTTCTGGGCGGAAGGGATTTGAGGTCAGACCTAGGACCAGGGATCCTGGGGAGGCCTAATAGCTCTATTTCTAGTGTTGCAGTCTGGTACATTTTGCTTTTTCTGTCAATTTTAAATGGCAGGGAGCCCTGACCTAATTGAAGAAGTGGCACTGATTCTTTTCAACAGGGATGTTTTTACTTTTTTCAACTAAATGTGAACCCAAATGAGAAAAAAATAGTAAGAGTGTTCTCATTAATTCAGCATGGCTTTTTATCATTTACAAAATAAAATGGAGTGAGGGGAAAAGAAGATATAAGTAAAAATGATAAAATATCAAATAAGCTTCAGCTGAAATCTAGAATGAAGTGGCCATTTTCAATGTAATTGCATGGCTCGGATATACACACTGAAATTATATTTTAATGTTAGCATACTATGAAACGTGGTTATCAGTTTGCAACAGTAAGCATACAGGTTACAATTAAACATGATTTCCCAACATTTGTGTATATATAGTTAGATTTTATATAGAATATTTACACTCACTAAACTAGCCCCTTTTTTTTCTAATGTCCCACTATAAAATAAAAACCATCTTGTTAATGAACTATTCTAGCATATCCAAAGGGCTAGCCCTCTCTTTATAATTGGTATTGAAATAAAGATTTGGTTTGGGGAAAGGAAAGAACTATGACGTAAGTAGTCAAGTAATTTTGAACCTTAACCTGGACACTTTTTTCATCTGGATTACTTAGACAAATTCTTTTGCCCAGGCTGGAAGGCTAGTTTAACATCTCGGCATCGTGAGAGGCATCGTATCGTAAAAACAAAATCAGATTTCTCCCCCCAAGTATTTAAGTCCTAAATGTTTGGCCCTCTGAAGGGGCTTAGACATAGTTAGCCTCAACCACTCTGACAGAGCACAGAGACTGTACGGTTTTTCCTGTGATCTCTGCAGAGGTAGCACCCAGGTTAGCCCGGCACAGTGAATGCTCATCCATGGACACATGTCTGAAGTCACTGACACCTAACAGCTGTACTAGTATGTTACTGACATTTTCTGAAGCTCATTTTTCTGAAGTTTTAAAATGAGGTAACAGTACCTCCTTAGCTGGTTATGGCATACTATGGGAAAAAGTAATCCTCTTGCATAACTCCTTAGAGGTATCCAATGAATGCTATTTTCCTTCTCTTTTATCTGAACGTAGAGTCATTACTTTTAGCATTTTGGTGCATTGTCAATAGCATGCTCATGTAACTCATAATAGTGATTATATTGTCCATATTTTACATAAGATTTAACTGAAACATAAAATATTCAGTTATCAGACAAGGTTCTATGACAAGCTAACGCCCACGCCACTTTAATCCTAGGCCTATGTTTTTATTTATAAGGTATTCAAAGAAAAAGAACACTTTTCACTACACCTGCCCTAGGCATAGAGTATTTTACACATACTCTGAGCCAGGGAGATTTGAGGAGCCTATGTTCCATCGTAGATCCAACCACAGCATGTGTTCACACCACAGCTACTACAGCCAGCCATGGACTCCCCCAGAGTACATTTTACATTATTTTTCCATAAGATCTAAGAAGGACCCAACCAATACATATATATATATATATAGTCATATAGTCATATAAATAGGACACTATTTAATTTTTTTCTGTGGTAGTTTTCATTTATTAGCAATTCATGTGTAACCCAGTTTCACCCATTTTCCTTCAAAGTCTTCTCACTTTGTCAAGACCCATCAACCCAAGCAGGAAAATACAGATTTATTCAGAGTTAAGAGGAATTATAATATGCTGATAGTTGAAAGATATTATATATTTTAGAATATCAAATAAAATATCAATAATTTTACCCAGCCAGTGTGGATCAGTGGTTGAGCATTGACCCATAAACCAAGAGGTCACTGGTTTGATTCCTGGCCAGAACACATCCTTGGGTTGCAGGCTTGAGCCCCAGTAGGAGGCATGCAGGGGCAGCCAACCGGTGATTTTCTCTCATCATTGATGTTTCTATCTCTTGTCCTCTCCCTTTTTCTCTGAAATCAATAAAAATATAACAATATCAATAATTTCCAAAATGACTCTAGATACCATTAGCAACTTGAAGAGTGTAATGTAAGTCAGGAGGGCATAAGGAAGCATATATTGTTAATTAAAATGTCAAAATTTTAGATTCAATATTTGTAGATGTTATATCCTATATGAGTTATCAGAGGAAGCACATACTCTCTATTTTGGTGGGGAAATGAACACATTCAGGATGTGTGTGT